TAAGAACACCCACGGTTAGCCAGAATGACCTGAATGAAGATCCAGTAAAGAAAACAGGTAGGAAGTGAATAGTTTCATGAAAATCTAGAGAGGAGAAAATATTGCTGAAAAGGGTGATTGACAATGTCAAACACTGCAAAGAGGTCAAGAAGGATGAAGATTGAGAAAGGACCATTAGGTCTGTCAATTAAGAGATCATTAGTAACTTTGGAGAGAACAGTTTCAGTTGAATGATGAGGTGGGAGGCCAGACTACAGAGAGTTAAGAAAAGAGTGAAGGAAAGGAAACATCTGCTATAGACAACATTTTAAAGGACTTTAGCCATGAAAGGGGTGAGACATATAGGATGATAGGTAGCTGGGGTGGGCAGCAGCAAGGAAGTAGCTGCTAGGGAGAAACTGAAGATAAGTGAGAGAGTAGGGGATAATCTGCTGGAGAAGGTAAGAAGGAAAAGGATCACTTGTGCCTATAGGGATATAAGTCTTTGCAAGGAGAAGGGCTACCTCTTCATGTGAGACAGAGGAAAGAAGAAATAGTGGCAGAAGGCATTTGAGTGAAGTGAGATGAGGAGAAAAGAGGGAACTCAGTTAATGGCCTCAGTTTTTTTCAGTGAAAAATGAGATGAGATTCTCAGCTATGGCAGGTCTGAGCATGGATGAAAAAGTCTGGAGAACCTGGTGTGGTAAGAGGAGTAGTAAATCAATTAGGCAGGTGTAAAATGATTGCTTTGCTTCTGTGAGGGCCCAGTTGATATCATGTACCATAAATCCATACTGTACCCAGTCAATAAGGTTTTGTGATTTTTCTCCACCTTTCAGTAGTGTGAGAATAGGAGCAAAGGTAGCAAATGGTTGGAGTAATCCAAAGTTGGGGCTTGGCAGGCCATGAATAGCATGAATAAAGAGGCAAGGGTCTGCAGAGTAGAAGAGAGCGCAGAATTAAACTGGATTACCAAGGAATCAAGATGGGGAAAAGAGGAGAGCATAGTCAGTGCAGGGGTGATGGCCTAGGAAAGGATTGAGGAGTGGAGGAATAGAGATCACCATGAGGATGAAGAACAGGGAGTGTAAGGCAGAGGGAAATCTGGAATGATAAAGAATTTTGATCAAATTAAGGAATTTCAGAGTTCATGAACATGGAAGTGGAACATTTGTGGGTAATGGCAAAATCAGAGGTATGACCATTTCAGTCTGTAGATGAAATGGGGTGGAGGAGTAGGTCATAGAAAATGAGTAAATTGAGGAATTTGCAAGTTAGGATGTTTGAGTATCGATACAGAGAAAAACCATGAGCCAGGCACTGAACTCACTGAGGAAGGAAGGAGAGTGTTCTAAGCTGATAGACACAAGCTACCAGAATCTTGATTGAGGGATAAATATGGATTGAATGAACCTCAGAGGAGGAGAGATTCCTGAATGATCGCAGTAGAGGAAGAGCCTGAGAGTAACAATGGGAAGGAAGGAGTATTTCAACACCCTCAACATGACTAGTGAGTTCAGGATATGAATAAAAGTGCAACCAGTGCTGGAAAAGGTGGCTCATATATAACATCATCAGGAGAGAGCCAAGTCTCAGGGAGCACGAGAAATGGGAATGAGTGAGAAGGGAGAAAAGCTAAGATAAGATTCTGACTTATGGATCAGTCGTTTCAGAGAGCACAGCAAAAGGAGGTGGGTTGATCTGGAGTGTGATGTTGGAGTCATAGCGTTGAGACGGGATGGGAGCAAGGAAGAGAGGGTGAGAATCAGTGGTGGACCAGAAGCAGGACTTGTGTAATGACATCTGGAGGTTCGGAATTACTGGGATCACGAATGATCAGTCATGGGATAAGAGTATAACTACTGAGGGATGTATTCAGTAAGCTTATCAGTGACTGCAGGAAAGTCCATTGAGGGAGAGGCGATTAGACTCTTCAGGACCCTCTCTCAATGTTCAGCTTTGTGGGAGATACTACTGCTGAGTTCTATAAAGCCTAGAAGGCCCACCCCACAATAGGCAGGAGCAGGGAAAAGAGTAATGCAGTCTGAACAGGTGACAGGAGTCAGCAATTTGAGGTGGGTCTAGTCTAGGAAAGTCCTCTAGAACACTGTAGAAAGCCTTGGGGTGAAGGGAAAGAGAAGAAGGCAGGGAAGCAGAAGCCAGAGTCCTGAGGCCTGGATGGGACTGACATAGGGTACTTTGGGAGATTCAGGAGGGAGGACACCACAGGTAGAGGGGCTGAACTGGGGCTGATATTGAGGGGAAGGCAGAGGTCCTAGGCATGCAGGCTGAATATGAGGCTCCCCAAAAAGGTTCAGGGGCAAAAGCAGAAACCACATGCAGGGTGGGACTGCATTTGGAGGAGCAGCATTCGCTGGGTAGTCCCAGAGGCAAAGACAGAAGCTACAGGATAGATGTGTGTGTCTTTGCATCAATAAATACATGGTCTATCAGTGTGCCCATCCTCAAAGCTTTACCAGCTTGGTAAGACTTGCTCTTCTGTGGCATTCTTCATAATGCCATTTTGCATTCAACTAACATAGCTTTCAACAACCCAGGCTTACCTACAGGCTTTAATGAGACACAGCATCTTGTGTTATTGTTGGTAACTGGTGAAGCTGGTATTCAGGAATGTTATTTAACAATTCATTTGCTTAGAAAAATAAAAGTGCCCAGTCATATCCTAGAATCCTTTCCTTTTTTAGTTATCCATGTTCATGAGAAGCATTCAAATGATATAGAAAGAGCTCAGACATTATTGCTCCCCTTGTGATAGCAACTCAAATCTTGGTCATATACTTATGATGAAGAAAAAGAGTATATGAGTTAACCTGAAAACCCAAAATCATAAAGGGATAATAGTTCAGAATCAGGGGCCAGTGAATGAGGATGGCTATACAAACTGTCCATCCCAGGGTCTCCGTTACTGATGCTTATAGACACAGAAAGTAACAATTAATTTTGTATCATTTAATTAAATAAACTATAGTAACATACATTGGTTATTTATTTGGACACTTAGCAGCTCTGCAAATTGTATTTCATGCATGTAGAAAACGTGAGCTCAAGCCATGACTTTTGGAGTAGTGAATTATAGGTTTTTGGTTTTTTTTTAAACCAGTAAATAAATGTTTGTAAATCTGTTGGGCTTGTAAGGATTTCATTTGATAGATAATGCTTTCAATACCTCTCCTGACACTGACATTCACCACTGCCCTGACTAGCCCCAAGTCATTCTGCCCCTTGCCATATTGGTACAGGGAACTTCCAGTTTTATGCTGTATCAAATTCATGGTCCATTCATCCATCGATGAAGATACCCACATGGAAACCAAAGAGGAACAAGAGGCAAGGGACCACAGGCAGCCAAAAAACAATAATTCAGCCCTTTCCCACCAAACAGCAAATTGATTTAGGGTTCATTTTCCTTCTTAAACAGTTCAACCATGTCCAATATCAGACCAGCCCAATGCTTTACAAATCTCTTTACTAGTCATGCTCAGTGTAGATTCATCTTGTAAGAGAAGTGACAATACGCATCTTTGTTTCAAATGTGATCTGAAGACTTTCCTTCCTTTCAAAAGTTTGTTAAAGATTGGGCAGATTCTCTGCTTCAACAGGGAAAGACACTGGTTATGTTTAAATGCTGTATAGTGCAAGTCAGTGTGTGCATCAAGCATTAGCAGCAAATATACATGTAATGATCATGTTCTTCATAATAAATGAATAATAAATGGACTTCTTCCTTCCTTTTCTTTCTTTTCTTCCTTCCTTTCTGTCTTTTTCTCCCTTTCTTTCTTGCTCTTTCATTCTTTCCTTCCTTCCTTCCTTCCTTCCTTCCTTCCTTCCTTCCTTCCTTCCTTCTTTCTTTCTTTCTTTCTTTCTTTCTTTCTTTCTTTCTTTCTTTCTTTCTTTCTTTCTTTCTTTCTTTCTTACTTTTCATAGAATTTTTGTCCTACTCCATTTCAAACCTGGGCTCATTAATCTCTCTTTAGGCAGCTTGGTGAACCTTCACTCATGGAGGGCTGACCTCATTGGTTACAGACTTAGTTCAGATGCCCAATTAGCTTTTAGTCCTACTGTAGCTCAGAACTTCCAAACTCAAGGGATCCACCAGTTTCACCCTTCCAACAGTAAGGACTTCAAGCATGTGTCTGCTTTCAAATGTGTCTATTTTCACTCATACTCAACATTTCAAATGATAACATGTTATATCAAATCATAGAATTATAGAATGTTAGAGAGAGAAGGAATCTTAGAAGTCCTCTAGGGCAGTGTTGGAGTTCAGTGCAGAAAATAGTACATTTCTTCTTGGCTCCAATCCACTACTTATATAAAAGACACCCTTATACCTGGGTTCATATGCTGACTCTACTACCAACTTGCTGTGATCTTGGGCAAATTGCTTAACTTCTTTGTGTTTTGTTTTTTGCATCTTTCAAATGGGAATAATAATACCAACCTCACAGAGCTGTTAAGAAGATTAATTGAGATAATAAAGATCTTTCTACAAAGCATGACAGCAATGTAAGGTAGTAAAATTATCATCATCATGGCACTAAACTAGCCAGGGGAGAGGATGCCCTAGATATATTATGTAACATTAATTCCCCAGTTTCACCTCTCCCCTTTTAACATCTCTGCCTTATATGAAGGGATAACCCTAAGAGGAGAGGGACAGGGGACAGCAGCAAATGGAGGACTGCAATAGCTAGTTGCTCTAATGTCATTCCTTGAGATTTGGATTAATTCTTATATTTGTCATATTATTTCTATGCTTTTAACTTGTTATACATCCTTGAATTTCCACCGAATTAAGAGAGACAAAAGGTGAAAGGAAACATGTCTCTAAGGCATCCACAAATTGTGACTTCCAATGAAATCCAATAAAGATCCCTAACATGGCCAGAACTTATAAACTACCAATAAACCTAACATATTCCTTGAAGTATTTGACCATTTCCTAAGTTTGTGGAAGAATAGGACAATTTGTGGATAAATGCAGGTTGCTGACTCACTAATGCTAATATGAAAGTTTATTCTTCTACTCCATGTACTGAAATGTCCTGACATCCAGGGTAAGCAATGAGATTTCTTCCAAGAACCAATAATGACTACAAACTTTGATAATGGCAGGTCACAGTGAACCCCATAGTCTTGGTAAACCAGAAATTGTTATTTTTTTCTACCACCAATAATTCAAGTTGAAGACTGTTATAGAAAAATAGAAGAGGTTTTGTTTTGCCCCCAAATGGAATGTAGATAGTGAGATAGTGATTTCCTCAAACTGTAGAGAATTGGGTGAATGTTTGACTTAGATGATTATTAAGGTCCCTTTCAAAGCTAAGATTTGGTGATTCCATGTTTCAATCTCAAAAGTTATTTGCATTTTGTATCTTCAGACTTTGTAGACATGATTCTTGACAACCAGAAAAAAAGCTCATTTCCCTCTTTTCTCAGAACTAGAGTATTCCCCAAGATATGAAATGCCTGGCTTGAGTATCTCCACTGCCAGAAACTGTCTGTGGTAAATGATAAACTATAAAATGGTGTGCAACAGGTAGTTCAGAGCAGCTGGGAGAAAAGCCAGATTGGTACAATGTCTTTGGCAGTTTCCATTTCTATGCCCACATTGCCAACTTCTGATTAGGAGAGTATATACTAGGTTTATACTTGTGGGTCTCATCCATCACTCGTCCCTCATTTTCTTCATTCCTTCTTTCTTATTTTCCTCTCTCCTCATCTTTCTTTTCATCCTTCCCTCTCCCCTTCCTCCTTTTCTCTTCCTCTTTCATTTTCAAAGAATTGAATAGCTTGATAATTTGTTTTTGAAATCAATAACAATGGAAGTAAGGGCACTCTAATCTTGTTAGAAGGAACATCACTTAACTAGGGAATGGTCAAAGAGGTATTCCAAAATTTAATATATGTAGATGCATTACAAATAGAAAAGTTGCTTTTTCTTTTTTTATGTTGAGTTATTATCAGAGATTGGATTCAGGATGGAAAATAGGGTCTTCAAGCAGCCCCTTCTGTTGTCTTTGTTGGCTATGATGCTCCAAATCATGGATTTCTTGAGGTTCACTTGTTTTGGTAGAAGCTGGACATAGTGACATATGCTTCTTCTTGACTTAACCTCAGGTTTGCATTGATGGGTTGTCCTTGGGCAGTTGGATTTGGAGCCAAGACTCCTAGTCTGAGTGGAAAAGGGAATGTCAAGGCACTGTTTCTGGAGTCGGAGCTAAGGAGTAGGCCCCCATGGAAATGAGCTTCACTTTTGCTATTCTCCTGATGGTTGGGTGACTTTGAGGCCATGACCATAGAAAGGTCACATGTATTGAAGTTCCCACGCAGGCAAGCTGGGGGTGAGTTCCCTCCATAAGCCACTGGTGGGATGACGTTATTCTCAGATGGCCAGTCAGGGCTGAGCCCAATCTTCTCTGTGACATTGATGTCTCGGGGCAGTGGGACTTGCAGAAAACCTTCTACCTCTTCTTTGGCTTGAATGCCATCCACTTTATGAATTGGATAGTCCAGGAAACTTTCTGGATTGAAGCTGATGTTGAAATTCTGGACAAGAAAAGAGATAATGTGTTCAGTTGTTGAACTAGAAGAACATGCTAACTAGAGTTCCTGAAAATCATTCTTTCTGACAATGGATCAGGATATATTTCCATAGGATATAAAAAGTGCCCTCAGCAGATAGTGTTATTAGGATGTAAGCCTCCAGAAAGAGTTATAAACTCTGGGCAGTGACTTCCTGGTCCTTTCCAGGGGTGGGAACCTGTGGCCTTGAGGCCACACATGACCCCCTTGGTCCTCAAGTGTAACCCTTTGACTGAATCCAAACATCACAGAACAAATCCCAATAATAAAAGGATTTGTTCTGTAAAACTTTGACTCAGTCAAAAGGCCGCACCCAAGTACCGAGAAGACCACATGTGGCCTCGGGGCCACTGGCTCCCCACCCTGAGTCTTACTCCTTGTGAAGCCCAATGTTTCCCTGGTTTCTTTCACTCTCTGGTAGTGAGGTCTTTGGAGGTGCTGTAGCTCTTTTAGGCCCTGTATATGCAGTGGTGCTGTGGTCATGCTCTACTGGCCTGGGAAATCCAGGGATAAGAGAATGAGACTAGTATCTTATTATGGTCTTCTTCCTCCAAAACTTGTTCATAGCATCCTCCTGGTCACTAGAGAATGTCTCAGAAAAAGGCCAAGACCTCAGGCTCTACTACTCCTCATCCTGTAATCCCTCCCCTGGGATGCTCTGATCTACCTGTCCAATGTCCTGAAAGTTTAGAAAAATAAAAAAACCAACCTTTTGTGGTTTTCTACATAGCTGTTCCAAAGTCGTCTTGTGGTCAGGGAGGTTGGGCCACAAAACAGGTTTAATTCTGAAATAACAAAATGTTTATAATAAAAGAGGCAGTAGATGCAATGTGACATAGCAGCTCTATTTCCTACTGGATCAAAATTCATAAGAGGTATACTGGATAGAAGGCCAGTTTTAGAAACAAGAATATCTTTGCCTATCAAGCCTTGCCTCTGATGTAGGCTAGCTGATATAGACCAACAGACCATTGCAAGTTACCTAATAATAATAGTTAATATTTATATAGTGCTTTAAGGTTAACATAGTGCTTTAAAAATCTCATTTTATTTTCACAACAACTCTGAGAGGTAGGTGTTATTATTAACCCCACATTTCAGATGAGGAAACTGAGACAACCATAAATGACTTGCCCAGGGTCACACAACTAATAAATACTGTAGGCTGGATTTGAACTCAGGTCTTCCTGACTCTAAACCCAGCACTCTCTCCACTGCATCGCCAAACTGCCTCCCAGATAATCCTCTAAAATAAAATGAGAATTGGATCTAGTGTTGGAAGAAGCCTCCACATTGGGATTTCCCCACATTGATTCCCTACAGTGGTCCAGATGTGGACCACGTCAATGAAAGTATTTATGAGATTTGGGGTCTGTAATTAACTAATTGTGGGATTACGTACAAGTCTTCACTTCCCTTGGGCCCAGTTTTATCTTCTATAAAATATATATTTTATATTATATTAGATTATATAATCTGCAGGATCCACTCCTGACTCAAGACTTTCTCCAAAGCCTCTTTACCTTGCCTTTATGTATGTGACTTCTCGCCCTGGAAGTGTGCTCCATACCTGCAGCCTCTTCCTCCCAGAACCTCCACTTAAAGACAGTTCTCTAGACCAGCCATGTCTTCATTTCTCTTCAGGGTCCATTCCTGACTCTCTGTCATTTCTCTCCCACACATCCTCAGGGCTATCTTTTCCTCTACCCTCTCCTGTCTTTTCATCTTCTTAAGTGCTTTTTTCCCCCAATTAAAATATAAACTCCATGAAGCTAGGAACTGTCTTTCTGCTTGTATTTGTATTTCCAGTATTTAGCACAGTGCCTGGCACATAGTAAATGCTTACTAAATATTGATTGACTGGCCAAATGATCTTCCAGCTTTATCATCCTATGATGTTAGGTCACACAGTGGAAAGAGTGTTAGCCTTGGTGCTGAGTTCTCTAGGTATGAATTTGCAGAAAGGAAGCAGTAAACTCTGACCATAAAGAAAGAGACTCTTAGTGAAGGAGCAAAACTGAACACCAACACAATATTTTTGATACAGACATGGAACCCAAAGTTGGCCCAATGGACCATCCAGAAATAGTTGTCAGGTTATTCAAGGAGATTACTTTAAGTGTTCCTCTTTCTTGGACTTTATCCTATATCTTATTTATTATTTTTGGCTTCCTAAGAAATGATTGAGGGAAGGCACCCTCATACAGTGGAAAAGTTGCTGAATTTGGAGTTTGGATTAGAGGACCTGGGTTTGAGCCTACCTCGGTGACTCCCTTACCCTCTTTGGTCTCTTGATTTCTTCTCTATAAAAAGAGGGAGTTTGACTAAATGAACTCTTAGATATGTTATAGTTGTTGATCCATTATCCAGAAAAGTGTCACTGGGCCTTGAGAATTAGCTGAGAATAAGGAGGAACAGTTTTGGCTTTTCAGTTCCTACAATACCTAATACAATCCTTCTGAATAAGAAAAGGACCTCACCTTTTTTCCCATAGCAAACAGATCACAACAATCCCCAGAATCCCAGAAAAGAAGCTCAGAGTGATGATGATGAGCATGACATAATCCAGCTCCTCTGGAAACCAAAGACAAGGCTATTATTATTTATTCTTTTACCAATATCCACAGTCCCCTATGGTTTCATCTACTTAGTTACTTGGGCAAGCCCATTTTTTTCTTTTAAAGAGGTTCTGTAACTTGGAAAATAATTCATGTAACAATAACATTACAGAGAAAAACTAACTTTGAAAGATTTTATAACTATGATTAATGAAATAATAAACCACAAGTCCTGAAGACAGAAGATGAAACAGACCACTCACCTCCTGCTAGAGCAGGGATGGATTTAAAATGCAGAGACATAGAAATATACATCGTCAGATATAGCCAATATGGAAATTTGTTTTGTCAGGTTATGCAAGCATGTATTAAAGGCTTTGTTTTTAATTTAAAATAATTCACTCAGTAGAGGGATGGTGAAATGGACATTAATAAAAGAAAAAAGATAAGTAGTTAAATATGAATTTGAGTAGCAGTGTAGCAGTGTCCTTAAAAACACCATGTTTGGGAAGCTGGACCAAAAAACAAGTCTATCCAACACAGCATCAGCATCATCACCACCACCATCATTATCTTCATCATCATCAACATCACTAACATTATCATCATCATTGTCATCACGATCATCATTACCATTACAATTATTATTATGTTATAAATATATATTATGTTACATTATTTTGTTTTATGTTTTGGATTGGTTTGTATGTTAATAAAATCGTAATACATTTTTTAAACAAAAAAGAGTTCTGTAGCCACAGGCCCAAGATAAAGCGATTTTCTGAATGTTTTGGGGAATTGTTGCTTCATCAAATAGTGCTAATTTGACAGATGGAGTTAACATGACTTGCAAGGCCAAATATGATCAATCATTAAAGCTGTCCCCCATATCACCCCCTATAGGCAGATAATTACTGAGCAAAGAACCTTCCTGGGGGTGAGGGCAAGCTGTGGGCTAATTATAAAGATTCAGATAGTATAAGCAGTCTAATCTAAATCACCAAGCATTTATTATTAGTGCCTCCTACATGCAAGGCACTGTGCCAGCCACTAGGGATACAAAGACAAAATGAGCAATTGTCTTTGCCCTCAAGGAGCTTATATTCTATTGAGATGGTTTAATATGCAACACGATTAATACATGTTATATCTCCCAAAAGAATGTGAGCTCCTTCAGGGTAGGATTTTTTTTTTCTTTTGTTTTGTGTCCCTAGTGCTTATCACAGTGTCTGGTACAAAGTGAGTGCTTAACAAATGCTTGTTGATGGATTGATAACTATATTCACTGGTGACTGAGAAAGGAGAGAATGCTAATATTGGGGTAGGGAATCAAGAAAGGTTATTCCTGGGAGGTAATACATGAACTGAACCTTGAAGGAGGTTAAGGATTCTAAGAAATGGACATGAGGACTATTTAATAAAGCCACTGAGGTTACTGGTGAATTGAGGAAACCTAGAGAGGACAAGCTGCTACCATGGCAGCTGGAAAGTGGGAAAAGGAAGGTCAGAACCAGAGCTAATGGTAGCTCCTAGCATTCTTAGGACAATAGGAGTCAGACACTCTCCATTTTCACCCTATATTAGGGCTCTATTCATTTTAGGATTCTGTGAAATTGACAAACTCTCATGTTATGCAACCATTAGGTGACTTTTAGGGGTTTAGAATCTTTCAGGAGCTGGCAAACTATAGTTAGAAGGCTGTAATTATCTGATACTTCCTTTACATTTTAGCTACTTCCTTCTTATTTTCCCTAAAGAAGGTACAAGAGCATCACTTATAAGGCTCTTACATGGCACTTGGAAAATGGAATGCCCTGGTGAGGGGAGGGTAGTCCAGCCCTGCAGAAGTCACCTGTCCATTTTCTTCTCCTCCTTTTCCTCCTCCTCCTCCACTTCTATGCTCCATCTATCTATCTATCTATCTATCTATCTATCTATCTATCTATCTATC